GGCATCATCAAAAAAGCTCACCAACGTCTGTATTTCCTACGACAATTTCGGAAATTCAATCTGCCTCGGGAGCTGCTTGTCCAATTTTAGAGGCATTATTGAATCTGTCCTCTGCTCTTCCATAACTGTTTGGTTCGGTTCGGCAACCAAACTGGACAAGAACAGGCTTCAGAGGACTGTCAGAACTGCTGGAAAAATAATCAGAGCTGATTTGCCATCATTGGAAGAGTTGTACATTGCACGGGTTAAAAAGAGAGCGGAAAAGATCGCGGCAGATCCACGGCATCTTGGTCACAACTTGTTTAATCTTCTCCCCTCTGGTCGGCGATACAAGACGCTGTATACTAAAACATCGAGGCACAAAAATAGCTTTTTTCCCTGTGCCATCAAACTGCTGAATTTGTAACCATCTGACATAACTGGGAGTTGAGGCAATCAGTTTTTGTAGAATTTGCTCGTCTTGTGAATTTTTTTGTTTATGGTGTGTGTGTATGTGTGTAGTGTTTTTAAGTGTGGCCGGTAGCCATATTAAATTCCGGGTATGGTTTACATACCTGGCCAGTAAATAAATAATAATTAAAAAAAAGTTTTTTTAATAGGGACTTGGGAGTCAGGATTGGACCCAAAGACTCAGATGTGGGACTCGGACCCAAAGACTTGCCAACATCCCTGCTGTGTCTCTTGGGCAAGACGTCATCCTGTTAGAATTCATAGAGAAGCATTTAAGCTCAGCCATATTTTGGTTAAAAGTTGTACTGTTTGGCCAGGGAATTCAACGCACAGTATGTATTCAACAGATTTAGTAATGACAGCAGAAACATAAATATTCTGCCTCAAATAATCTTCCACATCAATGGACTAATTGATGTAGCACTTATTGCCATTCTCCTTGTCAATGTAGGGAGACACAGTATTCACAACTGATTGTTCTTACCCAGTGTGCTAGAAGTGTAGCAGTATAGGAAATATAAATGCAATTAAAATGTAAACTTCTAAATTGCAATTACCTGCTCAGTTACATAGCATTTGACTTGTTTGCCTGATTCAGTAGATTCACTTTTAGAAGACTATGTAAGCCCATTGTTGCAGTTTTGAAATTAGGCATTAACTGTTCACCAATTTGAGTATTTCTTGTTCACCAATGGTGTTCCATTGGCATCTATGTATTGTCATTATTATCAGGAGATTCACCATCTTCCAAGGGCCTGTCTGACATACTTGAAAGATCCCACCAGTCAAAGTGGATCTTATTAGGCTAGATCATTGGTTCCCAACCTTGGGTCTCCAGATGATTTTGGACTTCAACTCTCAGAAATCCTGGTCAGCACAGCTAGTGGTGAAGGCTTCTGGGAGTTTTAGTCCAAGAACATCTGGGGACCTAAGTTGGGAACCACAGGGCTAGATGGACCAGTGGTTTGACTGGGCATGAGGCAGCTTCATGTTCCTAACTGCAACTTTGAAAAATAGTACAGTATTATGTAACATCACAAGAATTGATGCAATGACATATGAGGCAACAACAACAACAACAACAACAACAAAGCAGCCATTAATGACACAAGGCCAGTAGCTCAAAGAAACAGTCCAATCAACTTGGCATCAGGTACAAATTCCATTGTGGACTGCAGTGACTGCTGAATGAAAAAGGTTGAGCAAACGTTAAAAGAATACTTAACAAATAAAGAAAAATGCAGTCCTGCAGGAGAAAGATGTAGCACCTAATAGCTGCTAGGTCAAGACCCATTATTTACTCTGTAATTGGAGTAAATAATGATGTAAATTGCAAGTAAAATAGAGGGACCAGTTCTCTAGATTGGTAGTCTTTCTATACTGCCTAAACAAGTGAAAATGGCTTGCAGTTCCAGAGAAACATCATTAAGAGTTACATCCTTCTTGTCATCCATTTAAGCATTTGTATACTGAAATGCTCAAACTGAATTCTAAGACCTACTCAAAATTGGACAGTTGTCTTGGACAGGAGAGAATTGTGGCTGATGGCACCATGGGACATGTTTTCATTTTAACTCCCAGAAATTAAACAGGATCAGATTTATTTATAAAAGGCTGATATCCCCTGCGAAGAAGGCATGATCAAGACACAAACGGACATAGTGAACACCCTATCTTTCCTTTCTGTTTGACTAAAGAAAACATGGTAGGGCAAGGTTGTCAGTGGCCACTTGAGTCCCCTTCTGTGCAGAAGTGGGCAGAATGACTATCGAGCTTGAAAATCACTGTGTCCTTGAGGATTTTAATATGTGCATCTCAGAGAGACCATGTGGGACTGATGATACAGCTCAAACCCAAAAACCCAAGATTACAATGATGCTCTAAAGAGTTAAAGAAAACCTGGGTAATATACAGGTGAAGAATGACCATCACCAGGAAGAGAGGTGGGGAGAAAAGAGAAAATGAACTAGTTTTGATTTACAGTAACTAGGAGAGTTATATACATACCATTACTGTGACTAATTATCTATGTATAATTACTTTTAAACTCAGGTTGAATATAATACATCCATGCTTGCACAGTCAAAACTATACCATACACACAAAGGGTTTGGCAGATGCAAAGTAATCTCATTATCTGTACAGGTACTAAAGAAATCTGAATTGGGGATTTTTAAATAGAAATAACCCCTACAACCATCCAATAAACTCAGTGGTACAGAATCAACAAATTTAAGAGTTGGAAGATAATTCTTAACAGTTATCTAGTTCAATCACCTTTGTTTAAAATTATCAAATAAAGGAGAATCCAACACCTTTTAAGTCTTAATAGAACTTGTTGTCAGGAAGTCCTTAATGTTTAGTTAAAAACTGTCTGTAATTTGAAACAATTGGTTCAGGTCCTCCCATCCACAGCAATAGAAAACTAGTTTGCTCCTTTCTCTGTGTGAAACCATTTGACTACTTCAAGATTTCTATCATCAATTCATCCTTCTCTCCTTCACATGGAATATGCCACTCCTTACAGGACTTAGTTTCCAGACCTTTCACCATCTTTATTTGTCTGGACTTATTCCAGCTTGCTGAGATCCTTCTTACACTGTGGTGCCCAGGGTCTGGACACAGTACTCCGGGTGTGGTCCAACCAAAGCAGAACAGAGTGATATTATGACTTTACTTCACTGGACATTGCATTTCTGTTGATATAGTCTTGAATTATGCCAGCCACGATTGCTAGTGCATTGTACTGATGACAGATGGAGAAATATGACAGGTGGGCAGAAAAAAGAATACAGGGAACTACACCTCTCCCTTCAATTGCACGAGTCTGAGCATTACAGCTTTGGTTATATAGTTTTAAAATAAATATTTCAATAAATAAATAAATATTCAATAAATACTGTGTTACTGTTCATCTCCAGGAAGTGGTCTAAGGAAGGTGAGTCTTGGTTTTGGAGTTACTGAGGTCCCTGTTGTTGATGCAGCAGTTCAGACTAAAATGAATTTTGTGCTTAGCTCTGATGCACAACCACAGGAGTAGAGCAAGTTTTATTCAGATTTACTAGACATCACATGGCACCATGAAGTTAATGAAAACATAACTAGAATTTATTTCAGCTGTAACAGTATGTCATATTTAATGGACATATGTAATCATTAATTGAATCAAGTAATCCCAGCCACTTTGTGTCTACAAAAA